TTTAGTTTCTGTGCGAACTGACACGCGCAACGAAATAAATGCGGAACGTCTCTCTAACATATATATATATATATGCGCTAGCATTTTGAGGTGACATGCGACCCTTTGCACACTCACTTGGAAACAAATGCCTACTCCTTGATATATTATTGCCTGTTAATGATGGTGAGAACATCTATGTTAGAAAAAAAAACACCCTCGCATGATTAGTCGGTCGCAAACCCCTGGAGCAGTGCGACCTGCACAAAATGCAGGTCAATGTCTTTTGTTCACAATAAAGGGAACACATGGCTTCGACGGTAGGGTTTCAGCCAACTTAAGCTATATATTTTGAGAGTAGTAACAAATCCCAACAAACCTTTTTTTACAGTAAGCAAAGCCAACTTAATGCTTGGGTTCTTGGTAAGCCTGTGCTAGACAGTCCCCAGTTCTGTTTCGCTCCTTTGAGCGCGAAAAAAAGAATTGCCTCTGCTTGTTGAAAGCATTCTTGTGCAGCCACGGGCAATCCGCCTTTGGACCTCGGCAGCCAAGGGTGGTTTCCTTTGAATGCACCATCCGATTCTCAAAATGACCGAGAAGCCCTTCGCTACTCTTAATGCAGTCGACACTTCAGTTTCAATGACGATGTCACTGGCTTCCCTGAGTGTCGAACGTGCCTTCTTCATCCTGTGCAAGCGCTGGCAACCACAGCAAATAACAACTCAGAAAAAACATACACATTTTCAGCAGGACACGGTACTCCAGGAGATGCATACGGGCACGGTAGAGTAATGAAATGAAGCACATCCTTACAAGACCCTTGCACTTTGGGGAAAACAACTCTTGCACTGAGAGGTGGCCAAGTTTGTCTAAGGACACTACAGTCACTCCTCAATCACAGTATTATAGTGACACTAGTTTGGACATTTGCTGAAAAGATCATCCCTGCCGCTGCCTGGCAAACCGTGTGCGTGATGATTCACCTATGGCTTACTGGTAGAGTTGGCCATGGTTTACTTTCCTTGTCGTCCAAGCCAATCTGCTCCCTTCAACCTCGATGAACCGCAAACGAACCTGCACCTGGAAGCATCCAAGAGCCTCTGTCTGTCTTCCACACTACAGCACTTCCCCATGCCCCTCAATCTTGGTCATAACGGATTGTAAAATATTGTAAAGGTCAAGACCCTGTAGCCATCCTGTACCCCTTTTTGCCCAGTATCCGGTTTCAGGTGTACACGGTGTACCGTTGAAGTCTTGACCCAATATATACTGACCCCCATCAGTTTCCCTGGAAAATTAGGTTAACCGAGCTCTCCGTCTCTTCTTATTTAGTGGAGAGATCACTTCCCTCCAAAGGGTGTTGAAGGCTATCTACATTTCCTGGGTAGGCAAAGGGATGGCCTCTGATGGACTCAACTCCAAGCCTGTCCTCCCTCCGCACATCTCCGGTCCACGACAAACCCCGCTCCTTTGGTGTAACACCTGCAAGAGGAACAGGTGGCCAAAACAGGACATCCAAGAGCATGTTCGGGTTTATAAGAGTATGCAATGGGTCACCTAGAATGTAAAAGTCTATGTCAATGTATCTTTCTTGTCTGAAAGGTCCAAACAAGGTGCCTCCCGGTTTACGTAAGTGCCTTAACTTAACTTTGCCAAACATGTGATGCAATGGTTAACATACAAGATCAACAACCAGATTGATTGATGTCTTCAAGAATGTTGTGCTGTCAAACTACAAGCAGGGGGGCTCAAATAATGCTTGAGCTGCCAAGGTACACTTCAATGGTCCATTTGGTTTGGATGCCTACCGCTTAGCTGCCTACACTACTCCCTGCCTGCGCCATTGCCACTGGACTTCCAGGGCACCTGATGATTTCGCATGTGGAGTGGGTTCATCTTCGCAAGAACATGTGAGACCAGTGGGCAAGGACGGCAGCAGGAACGACCCAAATTCGTTGTTCACGACCCAAACGCCGAACGCGGTTCCCTCAGTCCGGCCGACATGCCCATGACTGGGCACAAAGAACTACACCACAAGGATCAGGGCCACAAATCCACAGAGGATTCAACAAACAGCATCAACGCAAGGACATGCAAAAGAAACACCCTATGAATGGCACAAAAGAACACTATATATATCTGATTTATATATGTTGATTTTGTTCCAGTCCAGCTTGCAAGGCGACACAAAAACCACCAGTTGTACGAAGTAAGAAGTACTCGCACTTCTCCTCGCACCGCTGGGCTCCCGGCGCCACGCCGCGGTGGGCTGGGCCTGGGGGCTGTGAAAACATGAACATGTCGAAGGTAGGAGTCACGTTGAAGAAAAAAGTAAGCAAATGTAAGCAAACAATGCTGAAGCAACACCGATTCACTTGCAACCCTCTTGGTTTATGATGGTTTATGTTGCTAATTATTTGGATACTATGGAATGAAAAATACTCTTAGTAGCCTTTCAGCCCAACCCTTGCACTCATGAAGCCGTGCCCCTTCCAACAGTTTGTGTTACCATGAATGTACATAGTTTCAATGCCTCTTGCGACATGGATGTCCCGCATCTTTGCAATCAGTCATCTTCCATCATCTTCCTGTATTCGTCACTCGCCCAAAATCATCACACTCCACGGTCCTAAAAACACCGGTGGGAATCTGTTCTTTTTTGCCAAACAACGCCTCAATCAACAGTGACACGGAACTACTCCCGCAGTTGGAAAACAAACAGGCATGCATAGGTATGCTGTGCCTGCTCAACAAACCACATTGATCCTCCACGAACACAGAATGGGATGAAAAAAAGTGCTAGTTCGGACTCAAAGCCACCTATATAGCCTTCTCACCGTCTGTAGCAGTATGTCTTCCACAGTTGTTCAAGCGGGGTTGTCACTCCATCTCTGTACACATGTTGTACAACGCAGTACAACACTCTTTGAGCTCTTCTCCAGTCGATTGGGAGACGCAAGGGGCAAAATCCAGCAGTTTCCTGGAGTCTGTGGTCAGCTTCTGCGTGACGCAGCTTCTGCGTGACCACGACTTCCCCACTTTCAAGTTCAGAAATAATCCCATAGTGTTTAGGGTCTTTACAGTATGTGTTCTCGACAGTAATGCACATCTTGCTTTGTTCTAGTGCGTCTTCTTCTTCTTCTCGCGTCGAGCGCAGCCTCAGTTCGTAGTTCTGACTCATCCGGGAAAATGCTAGGAACCCCGGGGAAGGAGACGCAGTCAGCAAAGCCCTGAATGGGCCTCCATGCTGGACGACGACTCACAAAATTGGAGTATTTGGATGTATTTGGCAACCAACACTAGGGGCTAGCCCCTGTGCAACGGATGGAATCCTGCATTTAGATGCATTTAGCAAGTAATAATTTTCAACATCTCTGACACATCCATCATGCTTTGTCCGGGCAGTGACCTTTGAGTTGGAAACAAGTTATTCAAGTACATCGCTCAAGTCCCACAAACTGCCTGGCCATGAGAGTAAGGGATATTGCCACTTATAAGTGAGCAAGTGTTGATAATTACTGACAATTATTCCAACAATTTGTCCAAGCCAACTAAGTTCCACAAGGTCCTTGTTGTGCTTTGCAGAAGAGTTGCAGAACATGTACTGTTGTATGCAAAGTTGGTGCTGACTGGATGCACTAAGCGACCAGATAAAAAAAAACAAGATTTGATCCACCCGTTCTTGAGAAAAGGCGTGTCGACAGAAAAGCCAAACACACCCCATGTGCAGCGGAGAGAGATTCTTGGAGCCGCAGGCTCTTTGAAGATCTCATGACAAGTTACAAGAAATGGTACTGGTTAGCTTGTTGAAGGATGTTGAAGGCAAGGCACTTGCCTTGATTCATTTGAGGTGGTAATTTGGGGGGATGTGTAACTTATGTTGAGCTCAACAATGCTGCAAATCTTGATGACGGTGACGCTACCTTCAGCCACGCAAATCTCCCTCCAGGCCCCAGGTCTTCTGTGACCTGCAACCGTTCCGCACGACCCATCCGAACCCAAGCATCTAAACCGCACCTGCAAACCGGGGCACCAGCCCCACAACATGCACAAATTACTTGGCGTAGCCAACATGCAACGTGACCCAAGACCGCGCAACATGTATACAGCGCCAAAGGCTTTTTGTGCGGTGGAGGGCAGTAAAAAATCTGGACTTCGTCCAGTTACAAGCTCGAATTTTCAGTTTCCTCGGCTTCATGCTCCCCGGCCAGCCACTCAGGCTCAAACCTAGGGCGGAAGTGCAGGGCAAAGCCACTGAAACGATGTGGCGCGTAAGGTTGTCCTGGGGAGAGAGAGAGAGAGAGGATCAATTACCAGAAGCATCCACCAAGAATCCACCAGCAGATTTAGCGACACTTCCCTCGCAACTTGAAAGCCTAGTCCAGGCCATGCTCAAACCAATGAAGAAGCCAGCCGAACAAAAGTGTAATGCATTTACGTTGTGCGAAGTTGTCCCCTGACAGCAAACTTTTGAAGTTATCAGGAGCTGTTCGATCGCAGTGGTGAGCTGTGATGAGTATCTTTTGATCGTATCTTGTGGGCAAAGGGGTCACCGAAGCTAGTGATTGAAATCTCCATAAGATCGACTGAAGTCACCCCTGAAAGGAGCCGGAGCTGCTACACCTGGCGCCAAACCAGCTGTCCGGTGTGTGCAAAGCCATGTAGTCTGGATGAATAAAACGGTCACCTGGACAGTTCACCTGCCATTCGCATTAACTTGGGTTGGCTCAAATCCTTCCAGGCCCCCAAACCGTGCCTGTTTTCCGAGCACTAAACAAACGATGAGGAACATCTTCTTAACCCCTGTCATAGTGGTTTATGTGAGCAGCCACTGCTGAGACTTGGAAGTAGCAACCCGAACTATCCAAAGCTCAAAACCCATGGCAAAAACACAGGTGTCCAACATCGCGGTTTTGATGAGGTTCAACAGGATCAAAAGGAGTTTGAACGTTTGATCCACCACCTTAGATAGCCACAACTACTCGATCATCTGCAGATCAGCAACGTTGAGAAAGATTCGCTCTGCTGGTCTGGCGCCTGCTTGTCATGCCTGAACAAGCAAAAACACAAGGTCACCTGTCTATAGGCTGACTGCATCCCAAGCGACTAAGTTGCTTTGCACATCTTTGAACGGACAAGTCCAAACAAATCAACGTGCTCTTTGGCTGAGGTCGCCATCAACAGAAAAAGAGAGAGAGAGATAAAAAAAAGAACAAAGGTGACTACCCACCACATACGTCTTCCCGTATCAAACATTGGCAGCAGTAAAATTTGTGACAAGTCCTTTGCAGCTTGAAACATATCCTTCTTTGCAGGAAGGAACAAACAACATTTTATAGACAAAATATGACAAAATGCATGGCCTGGTCCAGGAACATGTGCTCGCCCCAGGTGAGGAAGCAAGCCTAAGTATATAAGTGTAATGTTGATATAGCACTCAAATGTTAAATTGTTCCATGTTATTGTTATCCCGTGAACCACAAGTATAGCTGCAGGTCTAGCCACGTCATCATGAACATGAAGGACACGTTGATAAACATGTTTGATAGGCACAGCTACTCAAACTGAACAAACATTTTCAGATGAGCAGCATTGATTCAGATTCCTGCTTCTTGTCATACTCATTCCTCAGCAAGGCTGCATGCAGCTAGGCCAACAGGTTAACTGCACACCCACAGCTTTCATGCTTTGACCAGGAGATGCACAAGAGCCTCAACAAACCAAGAGAGCTCACAGGTTCCCAACAAGGTCACTGCAACTGAATTATTTCTCTGATTCCACTGCAAAACTAGAGACCGTGAGTGGTATAAACCGCATGGTTCCCTCTCCGGGCCATCGAAGGCCATGAAAAGAACAATAACAACGTACGCTGTCAGTTGAATTTAAGAATCAGCCATGTCGATTTTCTTGGATTTGGCAGGACACATGGATCATCTTTTCTGTTGAAACCACGGCCACTGCAAGCTGGTCTGTCTTCAGTGTTTGACAAGTCAAAGGCACTGCTTGTGGATAATGAAGTCGTCATCGACGTCGGACAGCCCGTCGCCCAGTGCAATTCCACCAGGACGGCTACCATCGTCGACGTCTGACTCCGACTCATCGTCCGCGTCTGCATGACGAAGGGCATTGGGCTTTTCACGGGGATTCCCACGCTTGCCTCAGAAACAAATGTCTCCAATGCCTAAAGGCTGAAGAGGCTACCAAACTACAAGCACAGGATTTAAATTCATTGTACAGTAGGTGGTGATGTGCACACTGAAGCAATTGAGATTGAGCTGTTTCTACCAACTCAATGATTGAGCAAAGTAAAGGAAGCGCTGAAGTCACACCATTGGATCGGGGAAGCTGCGAAAACAAAATCTAAGATCCGCACATTTCGGGCAAGATTTGTGGTTCAAACAGTGAACGCCTGGCAGATTCGCGGGTAGCCAGACCAGGAAATCAGCTTTATGTTTTCATGTTTTCTTCCTACAGTGAAACTGTTGCACTTGTCCACGCACCTTCTTGATGTAAACTTGCCAGGCAAACACATCCAACACGCCCACTTGCACGATGAACACAGAAAACCCTTGTCAGGGCTTCTATGGCAGTGGTTCATCCCCGCGAAGTGACAGGCCATTGCCATACTGACAATCCTTCTTGAAATAGTCAGTAGATGATCGATGATAGATGTCCTTTTGGACGCACATATACCTAGCCCCTGTTTTGGAGCAAAAACTTTGTCTTTTCCTCTGAAAACAAAGGTTATGTCTGGGTTCTAGGTATGGGGAAAACTGCTTCCGGTAACACGGTAACCTGTTCTATGTACTTACACGGGGATCCATGCCTTCATCATGAAGCCGAGTTGAAACTGCAAAGAACGGTAATTAAGCGTACCCGATCAAGCTTTTAGATACTACCACAGTCGACAAGCGTCTTCCAGCTCTTGGAAACACAAACTCCATCATCCACTGGTCCTGCAGTAAGTTCAACATTGCAGTGTCCATGCTGTCTGGTTTACGACCTCCATTGAATCTGGCAGACCCTTCTCTGGAAGGGCCTTGCGTAAAACACTCCCTGCTAATCTCTTACAAGTTTAATCGAGCTGTCACCGGTCTCCGACCCACAAAAGGTGAATCAGCAACTCTCTGCAAGTGTTCAAAGTGCAGGGCCATGCGTCGACTGTCAAGGTGCGTTTTGTGATTTGACAGTGACTAAGCTGGATCTCCACTGGATGTGGCTCTTGCTCTTCGAGCGCCAACATTCAAACAATCTGGATTCAATCTCTGTACCAGGACCACCAGTCATCCAGCAGTTTGGGTGCCAACGTATTCTGTTCCCTCCCACTTGGTCATACTTGTCATAACTCCATGAAAGTGCTCGAACTAGTCAACCAGTCTGTGCCATGATCTATGGTTTGCGAATCAACTCCATGCTGCTCAGATTCAGCTGTACCCTTAGTCCTTAGTAAGGAATCTGGGCCATGGATCCCAGGTGCTTCAGGGCAATCCCTCTCAGGGAACCCCGGCGAAGGCTATTCCTGAATGTTCCTTGCGAAGCACACTAGCAATCCCCCCAGTGACTAGCTCCAAACGCATCCACTAGAAAATGATGACTGCTCCCATGTTCAAGAATACCATATAGTATTGTTTAATGATCCCATCATCCTGTAGTTGAACATAGTTATTTGTCGTTGTGGAGAAGCTGGATGACAGGGAATAGAGCTGCCTGCCAAAAGTATGCATTATGAACGTCCCCCACCTCCAAACTCTAGCCTTTTCAGAAATGACCTACAATGACTGCTCACAATTCAAGCGACGTCCTTTTTCAACCTCTTGCGGCCAAAAGTCACTTCCTCTTTCATCCTCTGGCCATGACAAAATCTGTCATCGGCTCCTTAAGATTAAAGCCGATCCAAAAAGAAGCAACTCATCCTTCGAATTCCTTCGAGTAGATCCGGGGCCAACATCCTTCGAGGGGTGCTATCTGCTCAAGGAGATGCACTCATTCCCCCTGTACAACGGCCCACGACCGACATTCCTCGCCAGTCTTCGGAGCTACCAAGCAGCCAGCGAGCCGCTGAAGCACGAGCTCGGAGAGAGGAAGTAATTATAGATTAATCTCAAAGGATCCACACAGGTGACTGTGACTAAATATGTCTTTGATATATTTAAGAGATCCTGGTTGGAGACGTGCAAGCTTCTCTATGCCCGACTTTCGTGGTCACATGTATCCATCTTTTATCTGATCTTGGATCCTTGGCCCATGCAGGGGAAATCTGCTCGCGCCCTCAAACCCTCGCCACGGCAGGGTCTTCCCGCGGGTGGCCAAACGCAGTGACTGCAGGCATCGTCCCAGCCTCCCCCAGATTTGCAGTCTCCCTCTCCTTAGCCTCCTTAGCAGAAAGCACATCAAGAACGCCAACACATCGAAACGGGTTCAGGGCACGCCAATACAGACTTGTCGAATACCAAAAAAGGGACACCACTTCGATGAACGAACGACGCCAAGGTTTGGACACATTTGGAAGGACATCCCAAGATCCGACCTGCCACCGACCCCGACAGGCCACCGGGTTGGAAGACGAGGTGGTTCTCTCAACATAAGAAGCAACATACGAAGGAGGACTCTTGGACCCAATCCCTAACAATCCATGGGACTGGCATATTTACCCAATCATTGGGGTATGAAATCAGAAACTCTTACACGGATGGTCTGGGAATATGACCCAACAATGATTCTTTCTCCTCCGAGTCTCCAACTCCAGCTGCTCCAGCTCTCGTTGCAATCTCTTCTGCCCTCCCCGCCCCCGCCGCACTTTGCGCTTCGGCTTGGGCGGTTGTTCAGAAGGCCTCATGTGATCCAATGGACATTCTCGAACTCTACCAGTGGTATGGAAAACCCTACATGAGAAAAACATGTAATATGTGTATATATACACATATAGGAGGGCACACGAACCTGTCCATCAGCAGATATCAGCAGCAAAGAACTAAAGACCTGTGTAGAAATGGCTGCTTTAAATTCAGTTTCATGGTCCTCATCTCACCACACGATTGTTTCATTTGATGTAGGCAAAACATTGCAACACGGCACTTGGTATCAAACTGTTGCTTTAACCTGAGGTTATATAATGTTATAATGTGTTACATATATATTATATATATTATTTTACTTTTGCAACTTGGTAGAAGAACAATCAAGCAAAAACGGCCCTGGCCATTTCATGCCATTGTGGTTGATGCTCCAGGCAATCCCACTTCTGCACCCTGGTGAGAACTCTTGGCAAAACTCCGGTGACTTCCAAGTTGCCACTGGCTCCAAGGAAAACAACATCGTCTGTTGATGAATCTTGTCTGGGAACCAGGTCTGTTCGAAAGGAGCAATAATTACTCGGCAAAACACAAATTATTGCAGAACAATGAAAAACACGGGCAATGCAAAAGTAGATTTTGTTGCATGTGGTTCGAGATGGCCCTTAGCTCTTGTCATCCCAGCCTTTTTAAAACGCCTTCTGAAGAAAGGAAGAAGCAAGCGCTTTCACTGGACATCTGTAATGCAAAAGGCAAAAGGAACAACTAGTTAACTGAATAGTCGTCATAGAAAGAAAACAACAAACAAACCAAACAAACATTAATCAGTAGAACTTCAACGTCCCACAGACCTCTGGTTTTCATGTTTGTTAGAGAAGGAATCGCAAGCACGCGGAGAAATGATAAAGGCTCATTGTCGCTAAGCATCTCAAGTTGATTGACCATTTGGTCCAGATCCGCTTCATCATCACCGTCGTTGGCGTCTGCAGGTGGTGAATAAAAGCACGTGGGAACCGACATGGTCCAACACACTCGCCCCGCACAACCAACACATGGCGTCCTACTCCCTTGAGATCCACACACACACACACCCAAACCCAAACCCGAACGACACTTGAGAAGATCATGGTCAACAGCTATAAATATGTTATAATGCAACAAATACTCTCACAAATACCTGCCAGCAGTGCAAGTCTGCTCTGGGCCCCCCAGGTGAAGGTGGGTGAATCGGGCCACAAGAACTGTTGCTCCAACGAATCCTCTGCAGTGTGCACACCTGAGTCCCGGTGCCCAGAGTCTCTGTCGGTGCGTCTCCCTTGAGTCTCGCTCTTGGTCTCACCAGACTCCAAACCCATTGATCTCTGATCTTGGTCAAAGGCTCTGGTCCTCTCGAAAAACACCCCAACGGACAAACCACTCCGCCAATATCTCCGCGCCTGGTTTTCGTGTTTCTTCTCCATCATCTGCAACTCCAGCGCCTTTCAACATAACATCACCTGCTGCGCTTTCTTCCATCACCGGCTCACAGTTCACTTCCAACAGCGAGGGCGGCTGTGTTCTTATTGTTCTTCCCCTCCCGCGTCGGGTTCGGCGCCCAGGCCTCAGGTTCGGCAGGAGTTCGACTGCGAGGACTGGAGGAGTTTGGACCTCTCCGTGGTCATTGAAATCATTGGACCGCTTTTCCGCTGAGCAACGGTCGGACCCTGCACTCATCTGCACGAAGCCCGGACCGGACGGTCGAGTAAGAAGCAGCCGTGGCTTCGGCTTCCCGAGGACGGGACGGCTTCGGGGCACGGACGGGACACCGATGTCAGTTCTCCCATAGCAGGAAGAACCGCACTCAGAGAGCGAGAGAGTCCGAATCTGGAGATGCCATTTGGATGTCTAAACCGAACTCACGTGATCTGAAGACAAAGCCACTCCCTTTCCTGCCCTCCAGTGTTTGCAAGCACACCCCAGGGTGGAGTAGACTGTGGAAAGGTGGAACCCTGGGGCCCTGGCTTCTTTGCTTCTCTGTGCTTCTCTTATCAAACAACCCTTCACTGTTGTGGCACCAAAGAGGACAACCACACAATCTTCTCACTATGCGCCTCTTCTCTGGTGATTTGAATGTGAAACACCATGCACCTTCAACCTCCCAATGTATTTAATCCTAGAGTCTTCCATATTTGCCACCGACATGCCTGGAAGCCACCCCGCCCTGCAGTCAAAGGTCTGTTGTTTGTCGGCATCAAACTTTGGCGGACCTGCATTGAATTGGGTCTTGAGATTCGAGCCATTCAACACTACTTCAGGCAAACAAAAGTTTACGCTTGTTAGCCTTCTTACAAAACACTCTGAGGTCAGCGGCGGATCGAATTAACAAGTCTAATTTTCGTGGCAGGTGTGGGACGGTCAATTATCACACCCATTTACATTTATAATAATAAAAGGCTTTCCGGGGTGACAAATGACCGCCCACACCTTCCCTTGTCTCATGGTGTAGGATTCTAGGGGGATAGGGTTGTCATGAGTTTCAACATCAAGAAGCGCAACTTTCTTCTGGCCAGTGCGTTAAAAAAGGGGTGTTGCATTGACAGGTAACTGATTGGTCGTT